GATGATAGATAGATAGATAGATAGATAGATAGATAGATTTAATTTCAGAGAGGAAGGGAGAGGGAGAGAGAGATAGAAACATCAATGATGAGAGAGAATCATTGATTGGCTGACTCCTGCACATCCCACACTGGGGATCAAACCCACAACCTGGGCACATTCCGTGACCGGGAACCGAACCATGACCTCCTAGTTCATAGATTGATGTTCAACCACTGAACCACACCAGCTGGGCAAAACTCAAATATTTATTGAATGGATGAATAAAGAAGGTATATGTTGCACCTAACACCACTCACTCACTTTCTTGTTACTTTAATACAAAGTATCTAGTTTTGCATTTGAACAAAATACCCTATTCTATTTTAAGGGCTACCAATAGAGATCCACTGAAATCCATTCTTCAGGAAGTTACCAGCAAATACTGATGTAACATCTGTCTCAATATAACATTATCAAGGTCATCGTTAGCAACATCAGCCTTCCTCATACCTTGTAGAAGCTTTGGGCTTTTGGAGCAACACAGTACAAATTATAGGTACATGTTTAATGAGAAACATGTTTTGTTGTTATTATTGCTGTTTCCTTCCCAACTATTCAGGGTCATCAAAACAGTAGACATTCAAAATGCTAAATATTGGTGTTACTGATTACAGCCTGCCTTCAGCCATCTCATTCTGAATTGAGTCATGTGGTCTGACCAGAGGCTGAGCTTCTCTTGTGGTTTTCCATAAGTAGGTGACAGGTAGACGTGTTTGAATGGTTAAGGCCATTGGCTTTGACCTGGCTTTGAATTCTGACTCTGAGGCTCACTAGCTGTGCAAACTTGAGTGAGTTACTTAACTTCTTTGAACTCATTTCATCATTGTCTGTCGAATGATTTGCCTACTCAACTCACAGTATTGTAAGTTAACTGAGATGTGTTTGGCAATTGTGGCTGATGCCTAGTTAGCGCTCAAAAATTGGTAATCACCATTCTGGGACAGCAAAACAAAGCCGTAAATACTTTAGGTTCCTCAAGTATTTTTATGAAGCACAAAAATAGCTAAATTGTTTTCTGCGGTTCTATCCACTGTGACTCAGGTTCCAAGGCGCTTGTTATGTGCCAGGCACCGCGCTAGGCAGTGATGCTGCGGGGGCCATGAGAAACAGTCCTTCCCAGAGACTCACAGTCTTGTGGGGTAAATGGCCAAGTAAAGAGTCACTCGCTGTGACGGCGCCAGGACACCGTTCAGCCTTCTGTCCTTCCACCTACTTGCAAAATCCATGTTTAAGCAACAGTACGGGCACTCGGAGGGACAGACTTGCATCCTTTGGTGTCACTTAACTATTTGTGCCTTACTTTGTTCATGTATAAAATGAGGTAGCGACTTGGTGTCCTCCTTTATAAAAAGGAAATAGTCAACCCCAACTCACAGGGTATTAGAAAGCTGAATGTCTGCCCTTCACATGGTAACACAGTAAAAGCTCAAGACCTGCCAGCTTCTTCCTAATTTTCAGCCAACAGCACAGCCGTCTAACATTCAGAAAGACGGAAGGAAAGAGCACTAGAATTTACTCTTAGGGAAAAGAAGCAAGATGCCTAACAGTGTATAGCATGCTATCGTTTGTATTTAAAAGGGTGGGTGTTGCCTGACCGGTTTGGCTCAGTGGATAGAGCGTCGGCCTGCGGACTGAAGGGTCCTGGGTTCGATTCCAGTCAAGGGCATGTACCTTGGTTGCGGGCACATACCCAGTGGGGAGTGTGCAAGAGGCAGCTGATCGATGTTTCTCTCTCATCGATGTTTCTAACTCTCTATCCCTCTCCCTTCCTCTCTGTAAAAAAAAAAATCAATAAAATATATTTTAAAAAGTAAATAAATAAAAGGGTGGGTGAAGATACAGATTTGCTTTCTTCACCTTTGCACTTGCCACGAAAAGCTCCTAACAGTTACCTACATGTATGTAGAGGGAGAGACTGGTGGGTGGAGAGGGGTCAGTATAGAAGAAACTTTATAGTGTATTGTATATACTTTTGAAAAAGATGTGTGGGCATGCATGTGTATATGAACATATATATGACATGTGAATATATTTTTTAAATGTTTAATTAAAATACATACTTTTTTTCTAAAGAAAAAAAATGGGGTAATGAGCTGGCCTAGAAGCTGAGATGGTAAATTAGCTGTGTAAAAACCAGTCCTGTAAAGATAGGGCCAAGGAAGAAGAGGCCCAGCTCAGTGCCTCAGCATTCAAAATTGCTCAACAGAAGTTCTGGGGAATGACTACGCTACAGGGAGCACTTTAAAAATCCCACGGGGGCCCTTCCCTGCCTGAAAACTTTCACTGAATCCCCATTGGTCTTAAGACAAAGCCTCCTTGCCCTAGCTGGTTTGGCTCAGTGGATAGAGCGTCGCCCTGCGGACCGAAGGGTCCCAGGTTTGATTCCAGTCAAGGGCACATGCCTAGGGTTGTGGGCTTGATTCCCAATAGGGGGCATGCAGGAGGTAGCCAATCAATGATTCTCTCTCATCATTGATGTTTCTATCTCTCTCTCTCCCTCTCTCTTCCTCTCTGAAATCAATAAAAAATATATTTTAAAAAAAAAAGACAAAGCCTCCATTCTTTAGTTCGATATTACAGCTTCTCCACACTCTGACTCCCATGCATCTTCCCCATTTTATCTCCCTCTTATCCCAGTACAAGCCCTTGGCTCTAGCCAACTTGGCTTAACCACACTCAAAACACCTTCTATTCAGACACACTTCTGAGCCTCCACCACTTCAGGTGGCCGAGGCAGCCTGTGAAGGGGAGAGGTGAGAGGGGATCCAATCTCAGTTTCTTCTGCTCGACAAGCCAGTACTGCAGTGCGTCATGGGCTGGGCTGGGAGGAGGGTTCTGTGATTGGTCCGCCCAGAAGGAGGTCTTACTGTGCATTTGCCTCACACCATTCTTCTCCTGCCTTCAATGACCTCTTTACCACTCCAAACCCCTGTCTGACTTTGGGCTTCTTCATAAAACCTCCCCAAACCACTGTAAGTCCATAGTGATTCCCTCCCCTCTTAAATTCATGCAATTCATTTGCCATCTAATTATAGCATGATAGTATTGTGTTGTTTGGGTTTGTTTGGGATTGCTATTTAATTTGTTTTTTTTTACTTTATGTGAGTATGTCCTAAGCCCCAAATAGCTTGTAAGCTCATGGAAGACAGGATAAACATTTTTTTTAGCCCTCCAGGTTTCCCAGGATAGTGCCACATACACAGCAGGTGATCAGTAAACATTTGTGGGACAAATCATGTGTACAAATAACATCTCAAGTCAGTCTTGCTTCCTGGGAAGTTTGCTGGTAAAGTAGGAGAGATCAGGAAGGAAATAAGCTTCAACAATTTGACTTGGCACAAAGGTGTCTTACATGAAAATATCTGAAGGGTCTGAAGAGACCACCAAGACCACATCAGTGTCTTGATTTTTAGCTTCTTTTCTCTGCTTCTAGATATCATGGAAATGGGTTTCCTTTCCAGCCAGGGTCTCCAGATTCTAGCAATTGCTTCGTTTCCTTATCGAGTACCTACTATCATAAATTTTTAAACTTTATCCATTTATCAGGATGGGCTTGGTCATCCATTGGCTGGTATTTCCTCTTGCCATCTAAAGGGCAGAGTCCTGCATTATCAACTGATGCCTGATGCCATAGGTGCCAGAGTAAGATGTTTGCCACAAAGTTATTTTGGGAAATATGCTTCTGTGCCTTTATTCAGTGTTGCAACAGCCAGGAGTTTTTCTCCTGTCTGGGCTTTGTCTGACCTTAAAAACTGCCAAGGGCAGATGTAGTCCACTGTTCTAGAATATTACCACTGGCCAGATTGCTTTTCCTTTCAGTGGCCACCTGGCTGAGTACCTCGACCTTCATGAGGCAGCATCTTTACAGGATCTGCTGATCCTGCAATTGCCCTTGGGGTCATCAATTGCTGCTTTAAGCAATAACAAAGCCTACAGCCTTGATTTTTATTATTTCCAGTCTGCGTTCCCCTTTGTAAAGGAATTATGCACATTTCAAATATTTTGACCAAATGTAGGGAGAAGGCTTTGAATTTTGCAGACCAACTGAAGTGAAGCCCCAAAAATGAACAAAATCTAATATGAGCTGGATATTTGGTTTCAAATACATTTTCTGCTAATGACCCCTATGAATAAAATTCAATCGTGTATTTTGTACCATATTCTCAGTTTCTAGTACCTCATCTTACCATCCCCTCTAACCACAGCCAAGATGCTATCTCCTGGCTCTTCTTTTCTCAGAAGCTTAGGTTTTTATCCGTCAAAATTTGCCTTCTTTACCTGATAGACTCTTCGCAGGAAGGGACGATCTGAAGACCCAAGGCGGTCTAGAGCCCTTTTGGGGAACAGTAATGAGGTAAGAATTTGAAGCAGGTTCTGCAGCTGCATTGCAATGTGACTGGAATGAGTAATCGTTTTTCCATTCTGTACAGCATCTTTCTCCACCTACCAAATGGCGGACCGTGCCCTCTCTGCCTCATGGTGAAAATATATCGTCAGACACATCCAGAAAAATTCATAAAGCACCTCGCAGAGTGGGCCTACTCCACCCTGTGGTTTGCAGGTTTCATTGGAGTCACAGGTGGAAACGCATCGGAGAAAAGACGAGGGCTCCGGAAATGATGGGAAAGAGAGTCCACCTGCTGAGAGCAAAAAGAGACGTCTATCGTTAGAGCCCGGAATCCGCCGACCCTAAAACACTCACGTCGTCATGAAGGAAGCTAATTCGCAGGCCCCCCTCCCACTGCAGTCTCGGTGGTGGGCGGGGCTTGGCGCTTGGCCACGCCCCTTTGCGGTTGCTCTCCTTCCCCGCCCCCCCAGGGGCGTGGCGTGAAGAACGCGAAGGGACAATTCTTGCGCCTGCGTCCTGCGTCGCTGGGCACCTCGACGCGCCGCCGCCCGCCCGAGGGCCCTCTGTGCGCCTGCGCACTCGCGCTCCCGCCCTCTCGCTGTGCCCGGCCGAGTCCGTCAGTCTGTCGGAGCCCGTCCTCGCAGCAGCAGCAGCGAAAGGACTTCGCAGAGCCCCCCTGTCCTATCATTTTCTTTCCCCTCCCTCTCTCCCGCCCCACATCTCTCTTCACCCCTCTCTCGCCCTTGCGCAGCCATGGCGGACCTGTCGGCGGCCACTCAGTCCCCGTCAGTCTCCTCGACGTCCTCCGGGGCCGAGCCCTCCGCGCCCGGCGGGGCCGGGAGCCCGGGAGCCTGCCCCGCCCTGGGGACGAAGAGCTGCGGCTCCTCCTGTGCGGGTGAGGCGCCGGGGGACCCGCCCTCGGAGCGGGTGTCGGGGGGCCTCGGGGCAGGCAGAGCGCCCTCCCTCCCGGCGGCTGCAGCCCGGGGCCGGCGTCGGGAACCGGGCGGAGGGGGAAGGGAGTGCCGGTCGCGCGGGCGGTGAGGAAATAACGGGGCGTGAGGAAACAGGCTGCGGCGGGGAGCCGTCCCCGGGAGTGGGCGTGGGCCGCGGCCCGGCGGGGGGCCCCCAGCTCGGGGAGCAGCCCCCGAACCGGGCGGCTCGGAAGGAGTGAGGGTCGGGCGGACGGACGGGCGGGCTGGTCCTCGGAGCGGGGATCTGGGACGGCTTTCGGGGGATGGCGGCGGAAGGGCTGCAGTGCAGGTTTGCAGCAGGTGTTGCACCATCAGACATTCCTGGTGGTCATCCAAACGAAAAAAAAATATTTTTTTTTTTGGTTACCCGTGTGGGGAGGACGAGGAAGTGTAGTGGACACGTCGGAGCCGTGTTCTACCCCGTTTTTACCTGCCTTTGCTTTGCCGTCGCCGGACTCGCTAAATGCCCGGATTGTCGGAGGCTCCGAGGCGGAGGGAGGCGTGATGAGTGCGGGCAGCGCAGGGAAGGTTGGGGGTGGGGGGGGAGCTGCCGATGGTCCAAGATGGATCCGGGGCTGCATCTGCAGCGCCGCCCGCTCCTCCGGGCGCGGGTGGGGGAGGGGCCGCGCCGGCAGCCGCCCGTGTTCTAGAAGGTGATCCACGGAGTCGGGCCCGGCCAGCCGCGGATTTTGATGTCATGCTTTTTCTGTTGGGCTGCTGTTGATGGCGGTGTAACAAAAGGGGGTGTTTACCGCAGAAAAGGGGGAGGGGGAGGCAGTCAGACAAAGCTGGTGGGACCCCCCTCTTCCCTGGCCGTGAAAGGCGGGCAGGGATGCTGCAGCCGCTTTTGGTTTCCATTGTATGCGCGTCTGCCCGCCCGCCCGTCCGTCGGTGGGAGCTGGCTGGCAAGCTCCCCCAGGGCGGAGATCTGCAGTGCAGGCGTCTTCTGCAGGAGGGAAAAACGCACCCGAGCAGGTGGCAAAGGAGCTCAGTCTTCGGAGGGGGGGGGGGGGGGGAGGAAATATATATATATATATATACATACACACACACACACACACTCTGAGTGGCCAGATTATTATGACCGGCCAGATTATTATTACCACCCCATCAGTACTTCATTGACACTTCCAAAAATACTGAATATTGAGAACTTCCTAAGCAAATACTCTCAAGGTTTTATTATTATTATTTGCATAACTAATTCACTTCATTGTACCTATGGGGTGGTCATAATAATCTGGCCAGTCATAATAAATCTGGTCACTCAGTGTGTGTGTGTGTGTGTGTATATATATATACACACACACACAGATGATGTTGCTCTCTATTTAGTTAGTTAAAGGATTTTGGGGAGATTTAAAAATGCTTTCTTGTCTCCTTTGCCAGAATCTTGGGTTGATGGTTATAAAGAACTTAGCAGTTCTGATCTTGGCTTTAAGTATATCCTCTGCGTGTTTCTCAGCCGTGGATTTCCCACGTAAGAGTTCTGGTGCCCTGTTGGATTTCCCCAGTGTGGTGGTGACCATTTCAGTAGAAGCAGTAGCAGAGGAAGCTTCTGCAAGGTCAAGATCGGCTGTCCAGCGGAAGGAATGAGGCAGCAAATTTAGAGCCCTCGTTCCCTTTACACCACCAAGCATTTCTGCTCCCAATTTTGTGTTCTGGGCAAAGGTCCAGGTGAGCAGCAGCTTCCCTGTGACTTAGCAACTCCATTAGCCAAAGCGAATCGCTTATCATTGCTTACTGGTCTCCATCGCTGGCCCTTTTGTGCATATCTTTTGATTTTTCTTGATTTAAAATGTTCTACTCACCTGAAAGATAAACTAGATAGATTCCCTATCTTGAATTCCTATCCGTTGGAAATGTGTATTGATACTGGAAATCATTAATACAAGTTTGGTGGCCCCTGTAAGATACTGTCATGCATAGTTATCATTTCATTGCAGAAGCTTTTCCCTGTTGCAGAATGTTTTCTCCATCTCTCAGAGGAAATGTCTCAGGCTTCTGCACCGAGAAAATAAGATGGATTTTGTTATTCCAAAATGTAACTCATTTAAAACAAATACTAAGAAAAACCTTCCTTGATAGTTTAAAAATCTACGTGTGTTGATGTCAACCTTCACATTATTTCACCAAGCTCCTCTTGGTTTTAGAGACTTTCAAAAAACAAGAGTAAACGGTCACTTGGTGTCCTTTAGAAAACAGTTTTGTCTTGTCTGACCTGTGGAGTAACGATTTTAGAAATACTAGTTTCTACCTAAAGGTAGAGAACGAGTGATGGCACTCTCGGGTCCAGTGCCTCGGATGCAGTGCAGCTGGCAATGGAGTATGCGTGCAGGAGGTCAGGGGCCACACTTGGCTTCCCAGATTCCTGCCTTTGGAGGAAATTGAAGATTTCAAGGCAGAAATTTGAAGTTGAGGTGAAAGATTTACATATTTAGTGTACTTTTCAGGGTGAGAGTTGTATTATTGCTGTGAAAATCATGATGCCAAAATAAAGCTGCATTTCTTGTATCTGTTCTTGGAAATTAGCTCAAAGCAAAAACAGCTTGGACAACTTTTCTTTTTTTAAGTTTATGCTTTAAATCTTTCTTCATGCATGAAACTTAGTTGTTCTATGTACTTTTTATGGCATCATTTTCACACTTGGTTCTAACAAGTCAATCAAATGTAAGTATATAATTTGTATTTTCAGTCTGAACCCTTAAATAAAAAGGAATCTGACTGACTACCTGTTCAACACTAACGTTATCTGTATTGTATTCATGTCACATCATCAGTGGCACTGTAATACAGTGATAAACACAGACTTGAGTCCCAGAGACATCTGGGTTTTAGTCTGACTCATTAATTATATGGCCCAGTGTAAACCCTGAGCCTCAGCAATGTGACCTAGACAAATTTGCCTTGACCCTCAACTCCTTTTATTGAATTACAATACCTAATATTTTGTACATTTGTTTGCATATTACAAACTTTTGCACCTAGGTGCAAAATAGCAATTGAATTACAAGTGAGAAATCATAATCTTCCTCATAGTAAAGGGAGATCTTAATACCTTTTTCTTCTTTCTAAAAGTGAGTTCTTTCAGCTCTTGACCCCTCACATTAATGTCTTAAAGCTGCTACCCCTTTCACTCAGCTGGTCTGTTAAAGAAGTGGTGGTTGGTTCTAGCCAGTTTGGCTCAGTGGATAGAGCGTCAGCCTGCGGACTGAAGGGACCCGGGTTTGATTCCAGTCAAGGGCACATTCTTGGGTTGCAGGCTCCATCCCCAGTAGGGGGGAGGTGCAAGAGGCAGCTGATCAATGATTCTCTCACATCATTGATGTTTCTATCTCTCCCTTCCTATCTCTGAAATCAATAAAAATACTTTTTTTTTTTGAAGTGGTGGTTGGGGGCAGGGAAAGGCAAGATGTTTCATAGATGGCTTGACATGACATCTGTATGCTTAAATATTAGCTACAGCATTCTGACCAGAATAGTGTAGTTATGATACATTATAAAACTCCTATCAGTGGAAGCAAGAGTACAGGAGTCAGCAAGAATGGTCATGTCAATATAGTTTACAAAATGCCTGTTGATTTGGAAGGTTTTTATTCCTCAGGAATGAAAGGTTTCTTATAATGCTGTTCTCTTTTAGGGTCAAATTCACAAGTAATTTAACCCCTCTGATCAAACAAACCAGTTGGTATATATATTTAACAGGCATACCTTAACCTGAAATTGAAATCCAGAGCATCAGTGTTTTTATTTTTTATTATTTTATAGATGGTCTGAAAAGAAAAGAAAACTAATATAATTGCTTTTATTGTATTCTGTGGTGAGGAAATGATATATTCTTCCTGATATAGGAGTCGCCTGTTTAATCCTATGTGTTTCAAGAACTTGTAAAAAAAAAAAAAAAAGAACTTGTAAATTAAGTTTGGTATTGAAGGAACTGGTGACATGTCATTGAAGGGAAAGGGAAAGATAAGGTTTCCAGTTTTGTTTGAGCCAAGAGGTTCTGTAGAAAGGCATTTATTTTTAGACTAGCCATAATCCTAGAATTGATTAACTATGCATATTTTTATAAAGGGATAGAGAGTAGAAGTACTATTTTATTTTTATTTTATTTTATTTTATTTTTTTAAATATATTTTATTGATTTTTTACAGAGAGGAAGGGAGAGAGATAGAGAGTTAGAAACATCGATGAGAGAGAAACATCGACCAGCTGCCTCCTGCACATCTCCTACTGGGGATGTGCCCGCAACTCAGGTACATGCCCTTGACCGGAATCGAACCTGGGACCTTTCAGTCCGCAGGCCGACGCTCTATCCACTGAGCCAAACCGGTTTCGGCACTATTTTATTTTTTTAATATATCTTTATTGATTTCAGAGAGGAAGGGAGAGGGAGAGAGAGTCAGAAACATCAATGATGAGAGAGAATCACTGATCAGCTGCCTCCTACCCGCCCCCTACTGGGGATGGAGCCTACAACCCAGGCATGTGCCTTTGACGAGAATTGACCTGGGGACCCTTCAGTCCACAGGCCAACACTTTATCTACTGAGCCAAACCAGCTAGGGCTAACTATGCATATTTATTGTGTGTACTTAGCTTATAGTTTGTGTTCAAACTTAGCTTATAATTTATTGCCTAAAGCAGTGGTCGGCAAACTGCAGCTTGCGAGCCACATGCGGCTCTTTGGCCCCTCGAGTGTGGCGCTTCCACAAAATACCAGGTGCGGGCGTGCACGTACAGTGCGATTGAAACTTCGTGGCCCATGCGCAGAAGTCGGTATTTTGTGGAAGAGCCACACTCTAGGGGCCAAAGAGCTGCATGTGGCTCGAGAGCTGCAGTTTGCCGACCACTGGCCTAAACTGTACAGACTTGTGGCAAATATGTAAATTTCATAGTAAAACTTTTTAAAGCCCTTTTAGAAA